GAAATTTTCTGATAATGCAACATTCGAGAAAAAATCTACAATCAATAAAAACTATAGTGGGGTGCATGGCATCGTGCCTTAAAGCAACTTGCTGGAACTTCCCGTACCGTAATTAAAGATCATGGTACAAAACCCCAAAAAATTTACACAAAATGAGTACTCATTATTAAAATCTCTATAAAAATAGCTGATAATTTGATGTACATATGTCCAATGAACATTTTTACCACCAAATGACATCTTTTTTAACTTATTTTTACTGAGAGTCCATAACCGCTGAGCCTGCCTTCCCAAAAATTTAATCAGCTCTTCATCTTATCAATACAAGTAAAATCTTTTTTGAATTATTAAAATCGGACGCTCCGTTCTTTTAAAAACTGAGTTACCGTTTTTGGCACTTTTTGCCCCGTATCTTCGTAACGGCTAGACCTGCCTTTGCCAAAAACTAATCAGCACGTCTCCTTATCAATACGAATCAAATGTTTTTTGAATTATTCAAATCTGTTGATCGGTATTCCGGAAATCGTCGACAAAAATTTGTATCCGCGCACACACACACACACACACACATATACATAAATCAATTTTTTTTCTAAGGTATGCCAAAATGTTCAAAAACCTTTGAAACGAAAAGATATGAACATTTTCATTTTCTATTTTTTTGCGATTACTATAACTTACCCTACGTGAGGTTAAAAAAAATTGATTAAAGCTTATTAACAATTGTTTTTAATATTTTTAAATGTATTATTATATTTACTGTAAGTTTCCTAATTCGTATTTTATAGACAAAATATAAAAGCTTATAAATCAGGCAAAGAACGCTATTGTAATTCTAAACGTTATAATTCTTGGTTCAAAAAAATGGAAACAAAATTTTTACTCATTATTAAAATCTGTATGAAATGCCTGATAAATCTATGTGCTAGGTAATTTTTGAAACTTTTTTCCTACGTGTCCGAAACTGCTGGACCTGCCTTTGAACTAATAAGCATATCTTCCATTAATAGGAATTAATAGGATTTTTGAATCATCCAAATCGGCTGATATGTGCTCTCAAAATCGTAAACGAAAAATTGTATCCAAACATACAAATACCAAGGAAACATATGAAAAAAAAATTCATTTTCGATTTTAATGAGAGACTCTACAAGAAGTTAAAAATCAAATCAACTTCAACATAGTCACAAAATCATCATGTAGTTATTAGTGTAATATCCAACATCGAATCGATCACCAATAGGTGACCTTTCGACCTTTTTCCCTTTATTTAATAAACCATCAAAATTACTGAATGTTGTATAAGAACGACAGATTGTAATTCACAAATGTAATTAAAAAAAAAGTTATTAGTGTCAGTGTTGATTTTGCCAGATTTTAGTATATGTTTTTTTAAATATAAACGTATAAATCATTGTATGTTATATTATATATATTTTTGCAAAATAATGTTTCAATATTTCCGAATAAAATTATTAAATTTGCACATTTTTTATTAATGCTCTATTATTCCTTTATTCAACATAAAAATTATTTAACTGCATCAGATTGAGTATAATTCAGTACATAAAATTATCTTCGTTCATATGACCCCCTATCTTCTCGATAAGTTCTCTCCAGGATAAAAACACGACAAATAAAGAATATGTAGATATGATCCTACGTGTGTTACAAGAAGCTAAATAATAATTGAATCTCATGAGTTCGTTCACTCATGCAGTGCTGCGATAACCGAACAATAATAACGATTATTACAACTTGGCTCCAACGATTGATTTATATTATCTGTAACAAATGCTGCATGAACTTTACTTTTCGTCGTACATTGTCTTGGAGCAAATAGTAAAAGAATATATCGTTATACTTTATACCTTCTACCTTTCGAAGTAGATGAAAGTAAATCTATTTTAGTGCATATGATTATAATATTGGATTCATTGAATTGCAAATGGATAATAAAATAATTTCTTGTAATAATTGGAAATTTAAAATTACATGTTGTTTATTTAAATATTATTAGTTCAAATTAGTTTTGCTTTTGAAATATATTTGTATAATGACATTCATTAAAAGAGTGTTGTAACAAAGCTTTGTATTAAGTAGACCTAAAAAAACTAATCTGATTTTTTATTATATTTTGAAAATTCTGAACTTTTTTTCAAAGCAACTCAGAAATATCGAAGCGCGCAAGCGCCGCGTCCTAGTCTGACGGATAAACCTTGATTCGGAATCCATAGAAATGTAAACAAAATTTGTACTTAAAATCTCTATAAAATATCTGATAAATTGAAGTGCATGAGCACATGCAATATGCATATGTTTAATGATCATTTTTGACCCCCAAATGGCATTTCCTTACATTTTTTATTAGACCTCCGAAACCGCCTTTTTAAAAATTCAGTTCTGTTCAATTCAGTTCTTTATTTCGTCAATACAAATAAAATGTCTTTTGAATCATACAATTGCCACTGTTGGCACTTTTTGACAATCAAATTGTCGACGAAAACTTGTATCCGCACACACACATACATCCATCCATTTTTTCTAAGGTATGCCAAAATGTTCAGAAGCCTCTGAACGTAAAGATATATAAAAATTTTCATTTTCGATTTTTTTATCTCATCATAACTAACAATTATTACAGTTATTGTTAAAAAACAAACCCTGTCAATTATTTGCTGGCACGCGTTTACTTTTATAAATTCAATTGATCATAACTTGTATTTTCACTATATTTTATTAATTTAATTTTTAATGTCAGTAGATTATGACAAATAGCATGAAAAGCGCTAGTACTTAACTTATATAAAATATTGCTAGCTATAAAAATAAACTTCCAAACTAAAATTTAAAATTAGCAACTTCGTCTTCAATCACATCGGTGATCGCGTATATAGCTGATTTATTTAAAACTATTACATTATTTATATATATATATATATATATATATATATATATATATATAGGTATATAATATGTATTACGTATATATGACGGGAAATGTTTACTGGTCAATCAAGGTTAACAGAAATTCCATTCAATGCATGTAAATTAAATGCAGTTTATATATTTGCCGCATTATCGATTATTTTAACATTTTAATATCAACGTACTAAAGTATTCTTTTTCTAGATGTATAGATATTATAATTTTACTCTTGTCAATTATACAATCAAAATACGTACGAATCCTGTGAATAAGCAAATCAAGTGGTGATATTGGCAAAAGTTTATATTGATTATATCGTTCATTTCTTTTTATTTTAGCTATTGTTACAGAAACATGGTTGTACTAGAATATCAGTATTTTTTTTTAGTGAAACAAAAATATATTTTCAAGTTTTTAAAGTTCATATCAATCTAAGTGCTTATCATTTGCGCATACAATTGTCAATTTTTTTAATGAAAATATAAGTCATTAGAATGAAGTTCTAATAGTAAATACTTCAAATTAGAGATGGGCTTATCATTTCCAAAGCCGGATCGGTTAGGATTTGACTCCGCTTCAGAGAGGAGTTATATCCACTTAACAACTCCACAACTCCGACGACTTTGATAATACTTGACACAAATGTGTTCACTAGTGTTTTGTTCACATATCTGAGGATTTATTAAGACTTTGAAAATAGTTTCAAGCATTTTTGTTCATTTTATTATAATAATTACTCTTTTATGCATTTCAATATCCATACAAATCTCAAATTGACAAAAAATTTGGGAATCAAAATCAATATTGTAATTATTTTTGAAGAGAAATTATAGAATTGATTGAATATGTTTATTTTTATATGAAAATAATGCAGTGAACCTTATATATGAAATATGAACAAATCTTTGTGTATAATATTTTTCACAAAATAATAATACCTCACATTCTTTTATTATTTCCTTTTCAAGAATTAATTAAACATCGGGTAGTTTGATTAGCATACTATTACTTTTACACAATTATAAAATTATAATTGTGTAAGAGTTATCATATAATACCATTGAAAGAGCTCATTTACGAACAAACATTATAGTATACAGAATATAGAATATAAAATAGCATTATTTCGAGACATTATATACCTGGAAAGTCCTAAAATTGGCTGTGAGACGAGAAAACGGCCACTTTTTTCGACCCAAATCTTTGTATTAGTAAAAAATCTCAAGCAAATATCTGCACATGTTAACAGATTTAGTATCAGTTTAGAGAAGTCGGATATAACAAATCCTGTGAGACAAATCCACCCGGATTCACTCCGAGGGAGGAGTTGTATCGGAGTGATAACTCCGGAGTGAGTTACCCATCTCTACTTCAAATATATAACAACTGAGTAAAAGGTCCTAACCTGAACAATATTGGGATAATTTGGTGGACAATCAAAATCACTTTTTTAATTTTGAAAGAAAATTAAGTAATTATAGATTTAGAAGAGAGCTAGCTTGGATAAATTTATTATCATGTTTACTTATTATTGTTATTAATATTGTTTATTAAAACAAAATGGCGTATTGCAGAATATTGTTTAAAAAAACGCTGAGACTCTAATTAATAACGTTGAGTCTTCTTACTATAATAAGTCATTCAATATAAGGGTATTAAAAATTGAAAAAACTCAAAACTGTTCCAAAGCCAGATCGCGGTGCGTTAGTCATTCAATATTTCGCCGTTTTTAATATTTTGAGAGAATAATAAATAAATTTAGATTTAGAAGTTATAATGGGCCTCTAGAGCTAACTTAGATAAATTATCAACTTATTGCTTACTCTGAAGATATTTTTTATTAAATCAAAATTGCGTATTGCAGAATAATTTTGTACCCATAAAATATTGTATAAAGAAATTTTATACGCAGAATCACTAGAATTTAATTATGTTGAGTCACTCTTACTACTAAGTCTTATTCAGCATGAGGGTATTAAAGATTGAGAAAACTCAAAACTGTTCCAAAGCCAGATCGCGGTGCATTAGTCACTCGACACCTACGACGCGGCCATCTTGAGGAATTTAAATACCGTCAACGCGATAAACGCACGACCGAGACGTTCAGACACGTGGGTTCGTTCGTCTGGAGTTTGTTCACCGTTCATACCAGTTGTAAAGAAATGGTAATTTATTTAAAATTTAAAGCAAACGAGTTTATTTTTCCTATACATAAACAACAGTAATGTTTAGCGTGCTGTCCATTTTCAAAAGAAAGCAACTAAGCGACCTTAGAAGAACTATATTAGAAATTAGATATTGAGCCTCTAAATAAAAAAAAACTTTAAAAATCTATTGAAGAAATAAATAGTGCTGCATGGTATCGTGCATTAAGGCAAATTGCTGGAACTTTCCGTACCGAAAATGGAAATTTTTAATTAAGCTTTTAAGTTGTCGCAATATAACGGATAAGCATGGGTACGGAACCCATAGATTTTTTTTTTGTCAATCAAAGCTTTATTCAAGTACCCATAGAAATGTAAACAAATTTTGTACTTATTAAAATCTCTAAAGTGGCGAACATAGCTCACTTAATAGCTTGTGCGATTCACACAACAGAGATCTTTGGATCGAATCCTGTCATTGACTTATAATTTATTAAAAAAATGTGTGTAGTTAATTTGAAATTAAATAGAATTGCATTTGTTAAGTAGAAATCTAATAAACTTAAGAAAAATAAGAGTTACAAAATTCGAATAGCTAAATTGTATTAGGAGTAAGAAGAAAAAATATTAGAATTTGCTGAGATTTAAAGAAGAATGAAGAGAAAAATGAAATGAAGATAGAAGTTGAATAGGATTAGAATTTTTTTATGAAAAAGCAAGAATTGAAGAAAATAAGGCGAAGAAAATTAAGAAGAATATAGAATAGGGTATATATACATTGTATATGATTTAAAAATTATTATTAAATATGAATAAATAAAAATGTTGTAGCTGGCTAAATGCTCACAGTAAGCGAGGCCAAATAAAATGTAGAAAAAAAACTATAAAATATCTGATAATTTTGATGTGCATATGTCTAATGATCATTTTTGACCACCAAATGAATGCTTTTATATGGATCTCCGAAACCGCTGGACCTGCCTTTTCAGAAGTTTAATGTGTTCTTTATTTCGTTAAATAAAATGTTCTTTTGAATAATTCAAATTGGGCGTTCCATTCTTGTGAACGGCTGATCCGTACTCTAGCAATCGTAGGCGAAAAATTTTATACGCACATACATACACATATACAGACATCGAGTTGGAGTTGGAGAACTCCAACTCGACCATGGGCCTGCCTTAGGTCAGTACTACCCATCATTATTATACACACATACATCTATTTCCTTCTAATAGGGTATGGCAAAATGTTCAGAAACTCTTAAAATGTAAAGGTATGCAAAAAAATTCATTGTTGATTTTTTTGCGATTACTATAACTAACTACATGAAGTTAATAAGTAAAGTTTCGAAAGGTTGCCAAGTACAAACTCCTTTTAAGAGGTTACATGGGTTTCCTCAAGCAAAAAACGGACTTTTTTCAATATTTTTTTACATATAAAAAATGAAATATTTGAAAGGATTTAGCATTTTGTAAAATTTTCAAAAAAAAATTCAAAATGGCGGTCATTACAACGCCATTTTCGGCAGTTCCTCGGAAAAAAGGTGCCTCCGCGTTGTCAGCAGAACTTCTATCAGGATCATCCGAAATAAAAATAGAAAGAACGTGTTTTAGAAAAGACAATAAACTAGATATTGGACAAAGAAAAACATGAAAATTGGATTTTCGGCAGACGTTTTTATAAAAAAAGCAAATTTCGACATGTTTTTTTTTAAATAGTTGTAATTAAAAAAATCCTTTGTTCAAGACCTTGTAAAGGATATCTCAAAGACCTGTGTAAAATGTCATCAAGATCGGTTGAGTAGTTCGCGAAAAAATCTTGACAACCGTCTTTGAAGGCATAGTTTTGAGAATAACGCGTTTAAAGTTTTAAGAGACAATAAAGGTGGACCTCGAGCGTCCACATTTTCAAGGCTGTATCTGCGAAACTATTAGTTGGATTAATTTAAAAACTTAGGACAACATTCTAGAAATGTTATAGAATTTAATAAGACAAAAAAATCGTTTTTTTGAAACCGTGAAACACATGTAACCCCTTAAATAATAAACTATTGTAAGCAGCGTTTAGCAAGAAGTTGAGCTTGTTAATTAGACTAGATTTCAATTGAATATAACATATGTATAAATATAGTTGAAATGGCAAATAACTGAATTGAGAGATATTAATAAAAAAATATTTATAAATTAGCCTTGATTTCGAGTTAATCATATCTCGAATTGAGTTTCCACATGAGTAATATTTTTCCCACGACTATGCTATGATCCTGGCGACCACGTAATGACCAACAACAGTCCGAGATAAAGAAACACGACGCCTCAAGTTGCTACTTGTACAATAAATCGCGCGACTGTTTACAAAGCGCCAACGAACACTCGGCACAGCAATACAAACAAGATCAAATTGCACTATTTTATTTGATTTCAAGTCCGGCATTTTTATGTGTGCACCACTTTTCCTTATTACACATCGTCATGGAATTAAGCACGTCAGCGGAAATGCAGGCTGCATTCAATTTGCAAACAACCAAACAAATACAATGACATTTTAATTTTGAAAAATAATATTTTCATCGATATTGCTTATTAGCATCAATCAGAACTCAACGAGACCTATAAACTGTTGTGCTCAATTCTTATTGACGTGGCTTCATAGGGCAACTAACCGTTGTCCTAACTTTATCTGACGCATTTATTATTACAAAATCTAATATTAACGCTAATTTATTGAAAGCAAAAATGCCGGAGAAAGACGATTTTTAGTTAACTTATTGCTATATTTTCAAGTAAAAATCGATGTCACCACGGATATACATCAGTCTGTCCGAAGTGGGCGTCGAATCTTAAACTTCTGAATGAGCGCTTATAGTTTTAACCTCCAAGTCACGGCCAAGTCCTACAAAAATAATAAAAAGGAACAGCAAAACTATGGATAGATCAATAATAGCATGATGTCGATGACATGAATTCAGAAGTGTCAATTGGAGATATAATTAAACTTTTTCGCCCGGCTGTCTTCCTTTGGGGACAACGTAAGTCTAGCATATCACTTGGGGGGCGTCCATTAATCGCGTGAGCTAGTTTTTAAGTATTTTTGGACCCCTCCTCCCCCTCGGTGATACATGGTGATATTCAAAATTAACCCCCCCTCCCCCACCAAATATCACGTGTATTTTCAGTTACGTGAAAAAACAAAAAAAAATTTATTCTTTGTTGAAAATGTTTAATTTTTTTTTAAAAAAATCAGTTAAAAAATAAATACACGTGATATCTTACCATACCCCCCCCCTCCCCAGCGTGATATTTCGTGATTTTTTGTCTAAACCCCCCTCCCCCTTAAAACCTCACGTGATTAATGGACGCCCCTTTGACTGAAAGTGCCTAACTCTGAGGTACTCGACTGTTTGTATACAAAATAACTCAAGTTCTAAGTTCGTATTAAAGAATCAAATACAATAGATCAAGGATGAGTAACCCGGCGGGTTTTTGCCGCCACCAAGCATTTCTAATGTAGAATTTTATTTATTTCATCAACTTTCTTTCATCAATAAATTAATTAGAATGTATTCTTCTCTTGTTGCATCAATTTATGAAATATTTTTTAATTTGATATTTTTTGTAAATTAACTCTTTGGGGACGGCTGTCCACCTGAGTGAACAAACAAACTCTGTGAGGCACAGGCTATTTTATAAACAATGACTCAGTTTGCATCGAAAAGTTGAATAAATTGCATATAGCAGTGATAAACAGTGTATTTTGAAAATAATTTTAAGTTATTTTAGTAGTATTTTTAGCCTTTTTCTTTGCTATATAGTCTTTTTTATATTTAAAACGAACGAGCGCTCTTAAATATGGCCAAACGACTGGTAAATTTTGGAATTAAGCAGTAGTGAAGATGAGTTTCATACAGACAAATTTTACGAAATGACTATTCGCACTGAATGTGATGATGATATTATCCAACCAACAAAAAGAAGAAGAAGTTCGACAAATTAAATGAAGAGCGGAAAGACATTAGCGAATGTGCCGATTCTCCTTCAATGATCGAGTTTGACATACATCAACAAACACAAACAAACAATATAAGACATCGAATAGATTATTTTGCATTATATTTTACAAATGAATTATTAGACAATATAATAGAAAAATTAAACCATTGTGGCAGCACAGAAATGAACAAATATACTGAATAATCAGTGGCATATTCTAAATGCGAGGAGAAAGAAAGATGGATTGTATTGTCTTTTCTGACAGAAAAGCACTAGAAGGAAGGCGGCGAACAACATTTTATTGTAAAACATGTCAAAATCAACCAGCTATGCATTTTGGAAATTGTTTTGAACGTCACCATTCTTTATAAAATGATCAAAAATAAATTAATATTATAAATGTATGTCCTTCAATGCTTCAATGACCACAAACTTTTATCAAACAAATTGCATAACATGAAATCAAGTTTACAGCCGGTGCAGTAGATTGTTTTGAAATCGATGCCGTCCCGTAAGTGTTAATAAGTGCTGCCCGCCATAAAATTTTAAAAATTAAATGAGATGTTGAGTTACAAAAGTTGCTCATTTTTAGAATAAATCTATGCATACGTTATCTGCATCGTAAAATTAGTACTATGCAATTAGTCTGCAGTTAATTTACTATTAGTTATTTTCTGAGTATTTTTTCCAATTTTGTTAATGCGGCAAAACGACCGACTTATATGTAAATTCATAAAAAAGAGAGAGTCATATAAAAAACAATATATTACATTTTACTGTGGAATGATAAAAAAAACTACCACGACGCTAAGTAATTATAACGACAGCGGAATCAACCCGCTATCTATGCCTTTGGGAAATTGCAGTCAACTTTAACGTGCTGCAAAAAAATTTAAATATTATTGTAAATGTATGTTCTTCAATATCCATAAATTCATATAAAATAAATTGCATACCTCACACAATAATATCAAGTTTACAGCAGGTACGTTTTCGTTAGAATGCGCGGCTGAA